TTCAGCCGCACAACAGTACGCGGCTGCCGCCGCAGCCGCCGCCGCTGTCGTCGCGGCCGCAACCACCACCACCACTACCACCACCACCGTTGCCACTACTATCACTACCACCACGACCACTGCATACTCATCCTCCTGCTCGTCCTTGTCAACATCGTCTTCCTGCACCGCCACCGCCACCTCCAACACCGCAATCGTGCCATCGTCATCCACCTCGAATAAGGACGATAGAAAGAGATCGGTTTCGCCCGCCAACTCTTGTAGCGGTTCCGCAACTCGGTTGGTCTTTTGGTCGCCATTATAAAATATATAATTATTCCACAAATCGGTGTTCGCGCAAATTATACCTACAAAATAAACTATGCAGACGGGTTTTGGAAAAATATTAAAATTATAATAAATAGTTGGGGGCCGCATGTAATACGTGTGTTTATTCATGTTTTCTCCATCGATTGGGTTTAAACGGTAGATAATAATAATATGTATCATCACTTCACACTCGAATGGTCGGATTATTGTTTTGCTTCGATTTTCTGGTTAAAATYGAATTAAGTATGCAGTGCGCATACTAYTATAATAAATAATACGAAACTCGACATTTAATGTTTATACTTACTTTTMATACTATATAGTATATACCATGTACGCGGTACGACATATAATTTGCCTTATCAACAAATGTTTTTTTTTCAGGCCGCAAAACGACCATAGTAAAAACTCTTCGTGCTCAGACGGCTCCAAACAACATGATACTGTTCAAAACAGTAATAACCARGGTAATGTATTTCTATAGCGCTGCACATGATTTCGTGACCGATGTACCCTATACCTGACTTAAATATTTTCTCTCATTTTACGAACCGTATAGATAAGAAGAAGCCCCACATAAAGAAACCTCTAAATGCGTTTATGTTATACATGAAAGAAATGAGGGCAAAGGTGGTGGCGGAGTGTACACTCAAAGAGAGTGCAGCGATCAACCAGATATTAGGGCGACGGGTAAGTGTCCATTAACAGTTTTTACAGTATATATTGGTGTATACTTATATGTTTGTTTTGAAATAATAATAAAATATGGAGAATTTGTTAAAAAAAAAAAAGAATAATAATAATTTAAAAGATAATAACAATAATAAGTGGGAAAAAACCGAACTGAAAAAGTGGTTTTGTGTAATATAGTGGCACTCTCTGTCGCGAGACGAGCAGGCCAAGTACTACGAGAAAGCGCGCCAGGAACGACAACTCCATATGGAACTGTATCCTGGTTGGAGCGCTCGGGATAACTATGGATACGGCGCCAAGAAGAAGAAACGGAAGAAAGAGCGCGTACCGGTCATAGATGCTGGCTCAGGAGGTAGTCCCTCGTTATTAATCGGCATTATATTTTTTATTTATTTATTTTTTGTTTTTCGTGTCCACGTGCAAATAGCAGCATGCAGTACCGACCCAGGCTAAAGATTTTTTATACCTTCGTTTTTGTCATATTTATTTTTATACTCCCAAGATAATATAAAATATATTATATAGGATCACTTTTGTTTTTCTATATACCTCTGGTTATAGCTCCTGCGGTGCTTAGTAAATAATTCTTAATCAATTCAAAAGTATTTTCTGGCTGGCTGGCTGGCTAGCTGACTGACTGCCTTTTATGGACATAATGGTTTTTATTATGCTGTTGTTAAACCTAGATAACGTTATTCCCGAGCCTGCACCAGTGTACGTACAAAATGTTGTTATGTATTCATTTAACAACTACTCTTATTTAGATTGTTTCAAATACCTATATAYATTAGTTAGCAAATTGTATTCGTGTTATAATATTGAAATAAAAATAACACATTTTCCGGATCTATATTATAATATATCATATATCGTGGCATATCGTTTGGCGTGTGTAGGACGCCAAGTAAAACTACTAACCTTCACACTAAAATCCATTTATACCTATAATTTAATATGATCATACATAACATTTATATTACTGTGTATTCGTATATCGACTATAACCATTTGTCTAAAAAATGTTTAACACGTCCCTGCAGTATACTCGCTATTCATTCAGCCACTCAGAACTATATATCTGTAGATTTCTATCATTTGACAATAACATAATTTACGTTAAATATAATTTAGCCGCATGTTAGACGATATAATATTGTGGTCGACATAAATTGTTGTGCATCTAACCCGAGCGACATATTTTTATTCATATTTATATATATTATACCCATTTATATACATATTATATACGCATATAATATGATGTATCATATGTGTATAAACATTACGAATCGCCATAATATACTAACTATATATAAATATATATTAACAATCTTATAGCCTGGTCGTAGCTCGAGCATAATGGTCAAAACGAAATGCGTGCTTGCCGGTGGTCGTGCACCAAACAAGATATAATATAATGTTATATAATATATATAGTTTGGGATGTTTTTTTCGAAAAACAACTTTTTTGGTAGCTTGCTTTTAACGTTTGTTTTATATCCAAGAGATTTGTTTCACAAGAACTTAGCCGTACAAACACACGTTTAGCTCCAAATAATTGAACAAAATGTTATTATTTTTTTTTTTTACATTTTTTTTTTAATTCAAATTTTTACAAGGAGAAACAATTAATAATAATAATAATGATAAAAATATATAGAATCATACAATAAAATCATTTTTATTTTTATTTTTTGTTCTTTTGTAACCAACTAGGTGATACTCTTTCTTCCGTTTTAATTCTTGGTGGTAATAATTTGTACGAAACAAATGTATACCTAGTGTTAATCTTTTTTTTATCATTTTTTTTTTTTTAACTCATTACGATTTGTCACCTTACATTTGTGTATCTGTGTGTGGCAATATAGTGGCACGCGTTAGGTCGCGAAGAACAGGCCAAGTACTATGAGCTGGCGCGTCGTGAGAGACAGATACACATGCAGCTCTATCCAGACTGGTCGTCGCGCACTAATGCGACACGGGCCAAGAAGAGGAAGCGCAAACAAGAAACCCATGACGGAGGTAGAACCCAAAAAAAAAAACAAATAAAACAAAACAAATAATAATAATAATGTCGAATAAATAAAATATGTCAATTTTATTTATTTTCTATCTTCATACTTTTTTTTTTTTTATTAATTTTACGCTAATGCGTTCGTTTCCTGAACATTAGACGCTTTTTGATGCACGTTCCCCCTATATATACATATATTTTATCAAAATCAGAAAAAAAAGCGAACACATAATTTGTTTATATTTTGTTGTTGTTTAATTTTGGAGTTTAACGAGGTGTTTGTCTGGCGCAATTATGTATGCATGGTACCCAAAATAAGGCTATTTTTTGAAAATAACGGTTGTTGTATTTTGCTTATGAACGCCTATATGCTTTAAAAATAAATAAATAAATAATAATTTTACTGGTTTTTTATACATAACTAAAACGATTTTATTTCTAATTAACTTTTTTTTTATCAAATAGGTAATAACAGCATGAAAAAATGCCGTGCGAGATATGGACTCGACCAGCAGAGCCAATGGTGTAAACCTTGCAGGTAATTATACTCACAACGATAATATTTGCTATAATCAAATATTTAATGTAGAATAATTTCACGAGTAAATGTCTAATAAAAATACTTGGTCTGGCTCCTGTGATGTCCTCGTTTTTAAATACATTTTAGTATTTTTCATATTTTCAAGAATTACTCCTCCGAAATATACATATATTATGGCTTTCTAAATTTTCCATAAAACTGTATATAGAGCCAACTTCTTTTAGATTAATATTGTTTTTGAAGTGTTATCCGCTACAACATTGTCCAAATAACTGTAGCTATATACCTAAATTTAAAAAATAAATTCTTTTTTAAAATTTAACGATTCAGTTACAACGTCTTATTTTTCACATATTTCTCATAYATWTAGTAGTATATCATATAATATATATTATCTATATATATTTTTCAAATCATTTCCAATGATTTTTATTCTTATACCTAATCAATATACTATATTAYTTAAAACATAATGTTGATCATTTATATTATCTATTGCCGCAAACCTATTCAGAAAATGTGTCTTGCCAGAGAAAAGTAATCTTAATGATAAAGCTTTAATATAAGTCTGTTA